ATGAGTATACCTTTAAATCATTTTTTAAAAATATTTTAAAAATATTTCAAAATTGATCTAGGACACTTTAAATTAAGGCTAAAATACCAATTTAGTCTTTCAACTTTCAGATTTGTATCAAAATTATCCTTTGATTTCAGAAAGTACCAAAATTGTCTTTGAACTTTAATTTATGGTACCAAAATAGTTCTCAAACTTTGAAGATAATACCAATTTAATCATTAAATTTTGAAAACAAGTACTAACTTAGTTCTTAAACTTTGATTACAAATACCAATTTGATTTTTTAATTTTGATTATAAATTAATTTGATATTTAAATAAAAATATGTCATGATGGTGAAATATGATTGTTTGATTTTACACATCATTAGTTTAAAAAAAAAAGAATTAATTTTGTGACAAAATAATAAGTTATATAATATTTTTATTAATAAAAGGGCTTTTTTAGTACTATAAATTAGAGTTTATGAATAATTTTACTACTTTTTGAAGTTAAGGGACAATTTTGGTACAAATTTAAAAATTTAGGTACTAAATTGATATTTTAACCTTAAATTAAATAGTAAAAAGTAACTGATGGGGAAATCAAATAATCGCCGATTAATTTGGAAACCAAATAAATACTCGCAGCCCACTTGAGTACGACAGTAGCCCGTGCTTCTACTGTTCTGCTCCCCTAAAGGCTAAAGCTAAAGTCCGGCGGGAGAAAGAGCCGTCAGTGGTCACGTGCGTCAGATCCGTTCCGCGAACAAACTTCAACAAAGGCCGAGATAAGAGATTGCTTGATTTGGGTTGGACCGCGTCGTTGTTGCTGCAGACAAAAATGTGGACTTATATAAATTTTTTAATTTTAAAATATTAATTTAATTTAATAAAAAAGTATAATAAAATTTGACTTTTAAAAGGAATTTTATTTTTATTTTTAAATTACATTATTTTAATTAAAATTTAAAATTTTATCTGATTAAATTTCAATATTTAGATTTAGAAACTGATTATATATTTTTTTGATTTGGTTGTACAATAAAATTCAATCATCTCTTATTTTTTATCTTACCTCACATATATATCATGTGATTCGAATTCAGAATCTTTTATTTCTAGTAAAAAGTGATAACCACTAAGTTATTTAGGTTATTAGCTTTAAAACCGATTATATTAAAATATATAATTAATTTTTAAATTTATATATTTATATTTAATAAGAT